TTGTCACACGATCTTCTTCATGTTACCCTTGAAGTCACACTGAACCCGTCGCTTGTTTGCCATTCAGGTTCCACTCGAAGGCCTACCCCCGGCGTCCTATGTTACCCAGCGATCTCCTCAGTATATGATGTCCAATCTATCTCCACTCCGTCCTTTTGTTATCTTTTCTTAAGGCATCTTTTCAAGAAAAAAATGCGTGCAACAGGCTGTTAAAAACGGTTTTGGTAACGTGATCGCGCTATGTTGTCTCTGAACAATCCAGAAGCACTGACTGACTTGAAAATATACGAGTCTTGTTACCTTATACAGAGTGCAATAGACTTTCAGGCTGACTAGGGAGTTAATTAAGGTATGTCTCCTTACCTTTCTGATCCTGGCCGCTTTTGACCACGTCATCCATATGCTGTCGGCTGTAACGTGTAAGGATGCTTCGTAGACAGGTGAAGGAAGCAATCTCTTTCATATTTTTTTGCACTGACAGTGATTAGTGCTTGTTGTGTGTGTCTTCTCTATGTTCACTTGAAGTCCTCTCTTTACTGTCAACCTCTTATGCCGAATTGTCAGTTTTCACTTGTATATCGTCGAGTTTAAGTGAGATTAGATTTACATCATATGCGATGGCTATATCGTCCAGATTGGTTTTTTCCGTCCAATGTATTCCTGTCTTCTCTTCTTCCCTATGGTCTGCTGCATGATTCAGTCCACCTTGAGGTAGGCATATCACCGTAGGGGGGGGTAGTAGTCAGCCTTGTATGATTATTATTATTATTGCTTCCTTTAGTTCCTAGATGAACACAGGGCTTCAGCCCCACGTCGCCATCGCGTTCGATTCTCTGCCAACGTTTTCACCTGGCTCCGCATCTGTCTGTCTGTCTGTTTTCGACATAGAACTTTGCACAAATGTGCGGAAGTTCAAGTCGCCACATTCCGTGTAGCACGCGAAGCAAGAGAAGAAAGTACAAGAAAAGCATCTGCTCACATGTTTTCATCTCCTCTTCACATGACCTCTTCCAAGTCACCCTTGCACTGACGACCAACTAACTGGCAGAATTCCATTCACTTTCCACTCGAGTGATGGCCCGACGTGTGATGTCAATTGATGTTGGTTTGTTTTCTCAGAGTATGGTCAATCCACCTCCATTTCTTCCTGCATATTTGTTGCACAGTCGGTTCCTGGTTGGTTCGCTCCCAGACATCCCTATTATTGATCCTTTCTGGCCATCTTATCTTGCGTAGTATTGAGCGAAGACAGCTGTTGATGAAAGTGTGTAGTTTGTTTGAAATGCCCTTCATGACGTGGCGCCAAGCGTGTGATCCGTCTAGTAAGCAGCACTGACTTAACATTGGAGTTGAAAATCCGGATCTTATTTTCATTTTCATGCTGAGTGCTGTTGACTTCCATACAGACTTGAGAGAAATGAAAGCTTGCCCTGCTTTCCCGATCCTCGTATCAATATCCTCATCAGTTCCGCCTGTGGTTGAAACGATGTTTCCAAGGTAGGTGGGTAGGTAAAGGAGGTTGCTTCTTTCAGATTTCTCCCATTTATGTTGACTGTTTTTGTTGTTGGCCAGGAATCTTCATCATCACACCCATTTTCTCCATATTCACCTGAAGTCCTGCCTATCTTGGATGCTTATTCCATCGCCAACTTGTTGCTTTTCACTTGCATATCGTCCAGTTTGTGGGAAATCAGACATATATCATCACGCGTGAAGTCCAGATCCTCCGAAGTTTTTGTGTGGGTCCATTTTATTCCCATTTCCTCTCTGCCTGCCGTTGTCTGTCGCATTATCCAATCTACTGTAATCAGGAAAATCATTGGAGATATTAGGCAGCCAGCTTGTCTTACTCCCGTCTTTACTTCGAAGGATTCTGTAAGTTTCCCGTTGTGGATTACTTGGCATGCAGCATTGTCGTACAATTGTTGGATGAGATGTATAATTGTTGGCGGCACCCTTTGGTATTAGCGAAGTAGTTGCTTGACACATGGCTGACACATGGGGTGTCAGCCTTGTATTACTCCTGTATTATTCACTTCAAAGGCTTCATCGAGTTTTCCATTGTGAATTAATTAAAACAATTACTTGTAATGGCTGTGAAATTGATGATATATTTGTTATTTGGTTATGTGGTACAGTGGTGTTGATGAACTTTTACTACAAACGGTACAATTTGAAAACAAATAGCAAATTTGAATCAATGTGTATATACATACGTACTACCGGTTTTTGGACTGATGATTTCAGTTTATTCGGCTGAGTCAAACTAGCTACACTGTCGATAAGCTTAGTCTAAAACGAGAGAGAAAAACGGTTATCCCGATGATGACATTACTTCAATCTAATTGGTCAATAAGCGCTACTGATCGTCGATGTGAGCGGTCTTCAACTGCTCGTCTCAAACAACCAGTAGTATATGATGGATGTTCACATTTCACATTTTGTTTGTAATCACTACTGAAAAAGGAAATAGTAGAGAAAGGAAATTCGTACGCTAAAATACTCAGTACTGATAAATCCATGAAGGTCAATAACTTAATACTACTTGACCCTATGTGGTAAAGTTAAAGTATAGAGACCCAAGGATGGATTGGAGGGGGGGGGGAGAATGAGGTAATGAACACGCTAATGACCTTAGAACGATTGAACCCCAAACTAGCAGCATATCCTGTTTAATATTCTTACATTTCTTTCATCATTGTCTAACGAATATGGTATCTTTCATTTAGGTCTACTAATTTTCTCTGATTGCTCGTTTCAAGATTATTTGTGCGTCTGTGTTCCCCGCCCCCCCCCCGCTCCCTGAGTCACTATTCTTTAACTTATTATTATTGTTCCCTTGGGTCCCAGGTGGGACATAAGGCTTCAACAGCACATCTCCACCTTGTCCTATTTTCTGCAGGCCTCTTTATCTGAACCGACGACTACCCATAGTCTTTCATTTATTCCTTGTACGATCTCCTCCATGTCACCTTCAATCCCCAGTCCATCTCGTCGTTTTCCATTCGGGTTCCAGTCCAGCAATTGTCTCCTCTGTGTGTACCCAATCTATCTCTATTTTCTCCTGCATATATATTGAGCAATCGGTTCTTGGTTGGTTTCTTTTGCCGATAGTTTCTTGTCAGTAATTCTTTCTAGCCTGCCATTTGATCTTCACTAAATGAAGCCAGCGAAGGCGACAGCTGTTCATTAAAAGTCTACAATAGCCTGTTGGGAATGCTTTTTGTGACTCTGGTGCCAAGTTTCTGACCTGTCCATCTGTCTGTTTTCGACATAGAACTTTGCACTGATGTGCGACAGTTCGAGTCGCCACACTCCCTCCTTGTAGCACACAAAGCAACAGAAGAAAGTACAAGAAATGCATATTAGATACAGTAAACAGAGGTGTAAGATAAAGGAAGAGTAATAACGAAGAACAAAACAGTTTCATTGGAAATCATAAGTCACAAGGAGTGGATGCATCTGCCTTAGCCATTGATAACGACGATTTTGAGCCATATCACCGATTGTCTCCAACGTTCATTGGTTTCTACCATCCCAAAGACCCCAAAACGTCAGTCAGGAAGTCTACACCTTCCTACGTGGCTTAGACTAACTGTTGTAGATTTCATTGACTGGTGAAGCCATGTTTTTGTTTGACCTCCGCTAGGTCTTTTCCAGCCTAACCTTATATCAGCTAACATTACCCATTATCGAGGAAGGCGATGACTAGGCATGCATTCGTAACACATGTCCTAACCATCTCAGTCGATGTAACTTCACAACCTCGTCGATTGATTTCCCCTGTTTACCTAGAACTCGACGCCTAACCTCAATATTGCTCACTTTATTATACCACTTCACATGGGAGATAAATAGAACACAGGCACCTATGGTCGAATACAGCTAATGTCTTCATGTCTTCCGCTCACAATGGCCATGTCTCACAGCTAGCCATAAAGGAGGACGGAGCGGACTGGTGAGCAGTACAGCCGCCCTTTGGTCGATAGCCAGCAGGATATCACATCTACTAAGCCAGAGACGGCGTAAACTGGCATATGCGAAACTAGCCCTCTGTATCCGTGGTGAGATTTCGTCAGAGATCAACCCATTGGCGCTGGCTGATGGTACTTCCCAAATAAGTGAAGCGGTCAACGTGCTCTACCAACCACTTCACTCCCTATTTCAAATCTAGGAGTCGGTGTAGTCCAGTCTTGTAACATCATCTTGCATTTGGCGGGAACGAATCGCATTCCAAACATTCGTAGATTGGAGCTCAAGGTGTTTAGAAGACTCTGTCCTATTTTGTCAGCGTCCTCGCCTAGTAGGACTATATCGTCTGCATATTCTAAGTCAACGAGATTATTCCCTCGCTGGTAACAAGTCAATCTCTGAGTCTCTGAATTAAGTTAGGGTTAAATCCATTAGTACATCTATGATGAAGTTGAATAGAAAAGGGGATAATGGGCATCCTTGACGGACACCACTAGTCGTCACCAATTCAAATGACAACTCGCCGTAAGCCCTCACCTGGCTGTATGAGTATAAGTAGAGTGCCTTAATCAGTGGAATATATTTTCTCGGAATTCCCTTTACAGCCAAGCATCTCCAGAGAACTTCTCGGTCGAAAGAGTCGAATTCCGCCTTTAGGTCAAGGAATATAGTGATTGTTGGACGCCGGTAGGAATGACTATGTTCTAGAATCTGTCGGAGCTACATAGAAGAACTGACTGACTTAACGTTTGTGTCATTTTTAAACTGCCTTGATGGTGATCGCATAAGGTTCGGATGTGAAACTGACTAATTGAAAATCAGTTACACAATAGTTAAAAATTACGGTATGGAGAATTATTCACGCATCATCTGTCGTATCCATGTTTATTTGGGCAATTGAACTCTTGTAATTGTTTGCATATTGTGTGTGTGTGTGTGTGTCGATGACTGTTCTTCTGATTACTTCAATGACTGTGTTATTTATTCACACCTCGTCTTATTTTCTTTTTTTCCCCTCCTTATATTAGATAAATCTGCTTCTGAAAGTTTCGATATATTGACAAATTCATCTCAAAATATGTCAAGTTTAAAAGATTGGTTATTCTGTGATCCGGTAAGCGCGCTTTTTTTGAATGCATGTTATTATCTTTTTATTTTTACGAGTTGATCACGGATTGATGACAGATATCAGTCACAGAACCATTGGAAACCAGCACTGGAGTACTGGACAACCGTCTGTTTCATCCTATTGCTTGGGAATCATCGGAAGTACGCACCTACCATAGTGAGGTTTGAACCCAGGACCTTTCCAGTTACAATGCGAGTTAGCTGGCTCGTGTACCATTCAGTCACTGGGACACGATTCAATAGCTAACCCATGAATTCCTACTTCTACCGATTCGTGATGTATTTATCGCCACCGCAACTATTGTCGTCGACGGGGACATCCATCCTCTACAGGTGACATCTGAATGGGCCTCACTGGTCACGACTTCTCACTAGAACTTCAGGAAGTTAGAATTCATGGACTGGCCATTGAATCGGATCCCAGTGGCTGAATGGTACACGAGCCAGCTAGCTTGCATTGTAACCGGAAAGGTCCTGGGTTCGAACTCCACTATGGTGGGTGCGTACTTCCGATGATTCCCAAGCACTAGGATGAAACAGCAGCTGTCCAGTACTCCCTGTGGTTGGTATTCAATGGTTCTCTAACTGATATCAATTTGTGATCAACTCGTAAAAACAAAATTAATCCTTACAAACCAAACTATAGCATATATTATCATTATTTTCGATGAAGGTTTAGTCACGAACTAAATTATCAGTTAGAGAATGATTGAAAATCAAGAAGTACACTGGAAATCTTTTCTCCTTGGTTTCAGGACTCTTTAGCAGCTCGCATCCGTAAAGTCTAAAAGGGGTCGAACCTCTGGATCTACTGGTTAATAGCGCAAGCTGGTTAATCATTAAGTCACTGATATGGAATTTAATGATTCGTGAACTGTAAATTCTGTCGATTGACAATAATACGCTACCAAAGACACCGGAGTTTTAACCCTGGCACTGGGCGAGTGTTGTTGGAGAGTCGCGAAGTGAAGCGAAACAGACGAAACTGTCCCGTACTCCCAGGTTGTTTTCCAATAGTCCTCTAACTAATGTCAGTTCATGATGAAATCCTGAAACCAGTCAAATCTTTACAAACCAATACTTGAATAACTGCAACTTATGAGTGTCTATTTTATGCTGACCGTTGTCCAATGTTGACAGCGGATCATGTCCATGAGAGATTTCAAGTGTCCCTCTTTTTGTTTAGTTTCATCATGGATATTATATTAATACATGTAGTTTTAATCAACTTTAGGGACTTGGGGATACACTTTTTTTTTTACCGCAGACAAGTATCTCTGAATTGGAGTATGTCTGTCTGTCTGTCTGGATTCAACATAGAACTTGGTACCGATGTGCACCGGTTCGAGTTGCCACGTTCCAAATGCCACACAAAGGTAGACAAGAAGATGAATGAAGAGAATCAATAGAGTTTGACAGGTATAAGAGCGAAACAGAATGGGTAATGGTAGAAAGAAATGTGAGAGATTACAGAGACTGAATACATCTGAGCTGGCCATTGACAACGATTTTGAGCCATGTCACCTATTGTCTCCAGCCATTGATTCTTAGAGTCAGTCTCGAGGGCCCCAACATGGAAGTCTGCATCTCCCTACCTGACCGACTCAGTTTAACTGTCAAGGATTTCATGGATTGATGAGGCCATGTTTTTGTTTGGCTACCACTTACTCTTTTCCAACCTGCACCACCTATATCAGCTAGTAATTCCCGTCGAGGGCGGGGGAGGCGATGGTTAGGCATGCGCAGCACGTCACCTAGCCATCTAAATCTGTGTAACTTTATAGCCTCGTCGATTGATTTTCCCTGTTTGCCCAACACTCTACGCCTAACACGTCAACATTACTTACCTTGTTAAACCACCTAACGTGAGACAGAGATCGTAGACATCTATGATCAAAAACAGTCAACCTTTTCATGTCTTCAACTCGTATTGGCCATGTTTCAGAGCCATAGACAAGGACGGAACAAACTGGTGAGCAGTACACACGTCCCTTGGTTGATAGCCGGATGTCACGCCTATGCCAGAGACGGTATAAGTCAGCGAAAGCAGCTCGAGCTTTTTGGATCCGTGGTGAGATTTCGTCGCCGATCAGTCCGTTGGCGCTGGCTGATACAACTTCCCAAATAGGTGAAGTTGCCAAGATATTCTATCACTTCACTCCCTATCAGGAGTTGACGTAGTCCAGTCCTGTAGCAGCATCTTACATTTTACAGGGGCAAATCGCATGCGAAACATACGAAGATTGTTGCTCAAGGTGTTCAGAAGACAGTGCATTGGATTACGCAGATGATATATCCCTCCTAGATGAAGATGCTGACAAAACTCTGTGAGTAGAGAACTTAATATGCTTTAGGCATGCGATTCGTCTCTGTCAGGCATTTGATGATGCAGCAGAAGTGAGCTGCATTGTCTGTCAGTTCAAAGATATAAGGAATGGTGTGGTTTGGGTGTGTTGACCATTTCACTTATTTGGGAATTTTGGATCAACCCTAATAGGACTGATGAAGATAGCCGACAAAATCTCAGCACAGATACAAAGTATTCGTGTAACAATTGTCAACTGACGTCATCTTTGGTTTAGACCTGATATCCAATTATCGATCAAAGGACGCGTGTATAGTACGCAGCAATTCACTGTATCCTTCATCATGACTGTGACATGTGACTGCTGAAATTGAAATACTAAGAAGAGGCTAGCTGTCTTTGGTCATAGATTCTAAGGGTACCGGTGGAGCTTATACATAAGGAGGACTGGTGGGGAGGGTGTTACAATGTTGAGGTTGCATCGATTGATATAGCTAGGACACGTGTTACACATTCCAAGCTATCGCTTGATTCATCAAACAATGCTAGCTGTGACATTGGATTAATAAGTTTGTAAAGGAAGGCCGTAGCTAAGCCAAAACCATGGAATCAAGTTATAAATTCTCCGTCTCATCGTTTAAGCCAACGACGTATGAAGTAGTACTGTAGACTGCTTGGTTGAGGTCGTCGATGCGATAAGAATCAGTCATTCACTTGAGGGACTTTTGGCCACATGTTTCCTTAATTTTCAATTATTGGTTTTGAAGGGATTTTTATTTGATTGCATGGAGGATTTCATCATGAGCTGACTGACATCAGTTAGACAACCACTGAAAAACCTACTAGGAAGTACTGGACAGCTGTTTCGTACGCTTTGTGTAGGGCTCTTCAGTAGTACGCACCCACCGCCATGGTTCGAAACCAGGACCTTCTGGTTACAAGATGAAATCCCCCATGCAATCAAACAAAAATCCCTACAAAACCAATACTTGAAAGTTAATCTGTTACTCACTAGCGACTGGCTCTATTCAGTCAGTTAACCTGGGGTTCTAGTGGGAAGCCGTGACCAGTAGGGTACACAGCAGGTTGAATGAAGGTGAGGCAGTAACTCATCGAGGAAGACATTGCGAAATGGTCGCGCTATGTCGTGAATTGGTGGAAGTTAGAACTCAAGGACCATTGGATCGGGTCCCAGTGGCTCATTGGTCTACGAGCTCGCTAGCTTTGTAACCAGAAGGTCCTGGGTTCGAACTCGCATGTGGTGGAGGCGTACTGATAAAGAGTCCCAAACTAGGCTGACGAAACAGCTGTCCAGTACTCCCTGGCAAGTTTTCCAATGGTTCCCTAACAGATGTCTTTAAATTATCCTCAGTGACGTAGATGCCACTGACAGTGTCTCTACGAGCTCTTTTATGCACTATCAGGTATATATGTAATATAGTCGTTGTTCACAGTTATGTTTCTTATTGATTTTTGCGTGTTTTGCATCCCATGTGTAGGCTGAACTAAGAGATATGCCCGGACTATCGACAAATCATACTCGTCATAATGAAGACTATTATCATGCTTCTGTTGTACCATCGTCTTCGTCATTAGCGAATAATAATCGTTCTTGGCTGATACCAGACAATATGCCATCAGCTGTAGTCAATACAAAAATGTCAACTTTATCAATCAATAACCATCAACCAGTTAGAGAACTTTTCCCTGAACATCTTATCAAACCTGGTCCAATCGATTTATCACGTTGGTTAGTTAAGAAACAGTCATCGTCGCCAGTGCCAGTGCCAGTGCCATCAACTCTGGCAACATCAGCTACATTGATGAAATACGAAGTAGAAGAAGAACAAGAACAAGAAGACTCGATGAATACGCAAATACTGAGTCAGTGTGATAACAATAATGATATGCAGGTAAGTGATTGTGTTTCACTAAACTGGCTAACTGTTATGTACTAGCTGAGTGGTTAATAGAGTTTTCCTCGTCGCCAATTATGTTATGTACTCATCGAGTAGTTAATAGTCCTGACGCGGAAAGAGGGAAATCAGAAGACCACCAGGTTTACGATGATACTTGTATTTTCCAGACAAGGAAAATAAATGTCACACAAGAATGTGAATGAAATGGTACGTAGTGTACGAAACGTGGGAACAAGTATCTATAAAAGTGTACAAAGCAAGAGTATATATGAAAATGGCTAATACACATGAACCAATTAAATAGACAGTCTTACCATGATTGGTTGTAATGTCATGTGACAACAAGGTCATACATTGTTTATTTAGTTAGTGGACAGACAAAAGCATAATGTCAGCTATAATGGAATATCGATCCATATACACATAGCAAAATATAACAGACTGTCAAAAACAAAACACACATCATGTGGATACATATCACTAACTGATTCGTTACTGCATATTTTCGGGAACCTTTTTACATCCTTTGGTTTGTTAAATCAGAAATCAAGTATCTTGGGCTTATTCTCTTTTCTGATCTCTCCTAGTCTTCCCATGTCATAGCGATCTCCAGTAAAATATTCCGCCTGACATTGTACATTAGGAAGTTAAGGCACTCGGGTATAATTCAACCTCCCATCTTGCAGTTCAACCCCTCCTCTTGCATCCAACCTATTCTTCTTTATTGTTCACCCCTGCTTATTCTTTCCTGGTTTGAATAAAAAAGACCATGTCAGAATTCGTAGAATGCTGAAGACGGTCAGTAGGGTGAGTGGTGTCCCAGTGGACTACATAGTTAACGCCGTTGTCGATAGGCACTTGACTTCATGCAATAAATTTGCTAGAGGGATTTTGTCTGAATTGCAGCATCCACTACAGCACCCTCAGCTTTCACCTTGCATCTCCTCAGGTAGAACAAGGAGTAACTTCAGAAAACTGTGTGCTCGCACGTTTAAGTATAAAAATTCTATGATACCATACTTGGCATGTATTTTATGTGATGAAAATAGCGTCAGGCAAGAACTAACTAACCTTTTTTCATCTAGTAAGTGAACAATTTCCTCCATCCATCCTTATATACCTTCAAGTTTTACTTTTATTATTTCTATTATATTTATGGTCCTGTTGCTTCTTTGTTTGTTTTACTTTCATAATTGCAAACACCAACTTATCTCCATGACTGCTGTAATCTTTATTTTTCCCCTCACCATATCATGCAAAGAGAACATTATATTCACTATTTTTAAACATGCTAGGATCTCTATACCGCATCGACAACACTGTGTAAAACAAGCCAACGGCAATTTTCACTTGTATTATTATTACCTTAGCTGTTATCATTATTATTGCTATTTCCATTTTATATGCTGCATGTTTTTGACATTACCCCTATTGTAAATGTGGAAGATTTTCTGTGTGATTAATTTTATTTATAATTTGAGGAAATTAGATGCGATATTGTGTGTGATTAATTCTGAAAATTCCATCCTGTATCACAAGTATTGTTTTTGGAATAAAGTCTGTCTGTCTGTCTGTTTTCGACATAGAACTTTGCACTAATGTGCGACAGTTCAAGTCGCCACACTCCACTCCGTGTAGCACACAAAGCAACAGAAGAGAGTAGAAGAAATGCATAATACAGACAGTAAGCAGAGGTGTGAGACAAAAGAATAGTAATAACGAAGAACAAAACAGTTTCGTTGGAAATCATAAGTCACAAGGAGTGAATGCATCTGCGTTAGCCATTGATAACGATTTTGAGCCATATCACCAATTGTCTCCAGCGTTCATTAGTTTCTACCATCCCAAAGACCCCAAAACGTCAATCAGGAAGTCTACACCTTCCTACGTGGCTTAGACTAACTGTTGTAGATTTCATTGACTGGTGAAGCCATGTTTTTGTTTGATCGCTGCTAGGTCTTTTCCAGCCTAACCCTATATCAGCTAACATTACCCATTATCGAGGAAGGCGATGACTAGGCATGCATTCGTAACACATGTCCTAACCATCTCAGTCGATGTAACTTCACAACCTCGTCGATTGATTTCCCCTGTTTACCTAGAACTTGACGTCTAACCTCAATATTTCTCACCTTATTATACCACTTCACACGGGAAATAGAGCGCAGGCACCTATCATCAAAGACAGCTAGCCGGTCTTTTCATGTCTTCCACTCTCAATGGCCAGGTCTCATAGCCAGCCATAAAGGAGGTCGGAGCGGACTGATGAGCAGTACACCCGCCCTTTGGTTGATAGTGGAATATCTCGTCCACGCCATAGATGGCGTAAACTGGCATATGAGAAACTAGCCCTCTGTATCCCGACCGACAGCTGCTACCTTGACGTGGTGGTCGGGCTTGAACACCGCAATGACCTAATCAAGCTATACTGGCTGAGACTTATGTCTCTTGAGGTTCTACCATGCCAGGCAGGTTGTTTGGATAGCGGTTAAACAAAAAGCAGCTACCCAATCCAACATCATGTCCAATTACAAAATTTCATGCCGGATCGGCCGTGGCCCGGATTAACAACGACCGCGCTTCCTGCTGCCGTGTCACAGGGCGGGAGTGATAAATCTGCTACTGAGACACACCAAACAAAAAAGAACGAACAAAAACAGGCCGCGTGTGACCGGCCTCAAGCAGTTGTCCCCTGGGCTCTGCGGTCACGCAACCAACTTCCACGGTGTGGGCAGCCGGGAAGTAACAATCGCCCTCACAATCCGAAATGCACACGAAACCTCTCTATTACTCACTCATCTTTGTCTTCATCTTCATCTCTATCATCTTGCCTTCCTTCCACTGATGCAACTCCTCGACTTGATAGCTCTCCACTTCCTCTCCACTCTGCGTCCACTAAAAACGATGGAAGCCAAAAAACCACCACCGACAGCCTCTTAAAGCCGCGCCACCAATTTCATATAGGAGCTCTTAATGTTAGGACACTTTGCCAAATAGGACAACAAGCATCACTAGCCAAGACCCTGGCATCACGAGCCATTGATGTATGCTGTGTTTCAGAAACACGCATACAAGACCCAAGTGTGGTTATTCACCTAACCCCACCTGGCCAACAGGTTGAATCTGCAAAATTCACCTTGAGGGTGTCAGGAGATGCCACAGCTAGTTCACGAGGATTAGCTGGCGTAGGGATAGCTTTGAGTACTAGGGCAGAAAAGACATTGCTTGACTGGATCCCGGTAGATAGCCGAATGTGTGCTGTCCGCCTGAACGGATCAGTAAGAAGGAGGAAGGACTGCACTACTCGCCGATGCCTTTTCGTAATCTCCGCCTACGCCCCCACTGACTGCAGTTCAGATGAAACGAAGGATGAGTTCTACCAAAAGCTGTCTAGTTTGGTGGAAAGGCTAAACGCTCAGACATAGTCGTTCTAGCTGGTGACTTTAACGCTCAAGTAGGGAAATTGTGTCAATCTGAGAAGGATGTCGGTGGCACCTATGGAGTTCCGTGCCAGCGAACCGACAACGGTGACCGTCTCCTACAGTTCTGCTCTGATAATCATTTGTTTCTTGTAAGCACTAACTTTAAACACAAGGAGAGACACTGTTTGACTTGGAGACCCCCTTCATCAAACCAACGCTGGACACAAATAGACCACATAGCAATAAGCTATCGTTGGCGTGGGTCGGTAGGAGATTGTCGCTCCTTCTGGAACACGTGCGTAGATACCGACCATGCACTGGTCCGCGCTCGGGTGTGCTTACGACTGAACGGACGTAGGAAACAGCTGGCGGTAAAACCATCACGTCCCCAGCTCGATCAGGAAACTAAATCCGTATTTCAGGAAGAACTAGCTAAACACATATCTGTGTTCGACAGCTGTGCTCACCCTGAAGAAGCTTGGAAAAATATCCAGGCAGCCATAGATACAGCTGTAAAAGCTGTGAATAAGGTAAACCCAAAGGTGAGTAAAAACCACTGGATCTCCACCGCCTCATCCGAACTGATAGATGCTAGAAGACTTATTCCGGCGAGCTCCGAATTCAATGAGGAGCGAAAGCTGCACAAGAGGAAACTTACGAAAAGTCTCCGCAAGGACCGTGAACAGTGGTGGGCGACAAAAGCCAAAGAGATGGAGAAAGCTTCGAGGATAGGCAACACCAGGCAACTCTTTGGACTCATCAGGGAAACGGGTGGGAGAAGACAAATCATTAGTGAGACAATCTCGGAAAAAAATGGCACTATAATTAGCTCCCAGGATAGACGACTGGATCGTTGGAAAGAGCATTATGAGGAGCAGTTTAATTTGCCCACAGCCACGCTCAACCTTCCGAGCATCCAACACCTCCCTGAATGGGATATAGACACAGGTCCTCCGTCACTAACTGAGGTTACTAAAGCTGTCACCAATCTGAAACTAGGCAAAGCAGCGGGACCTGATGGAATGACTCCAGAGGTATTTAAGTACGGTGGAGACAGCTTACTGTCCGGATTAACTGAGGTACTAGGCAGCGTCTGGGAATCAGAAGAAGTCCCATCGGGTTGGTGTAAGTCACTGATTATCCCCATATACAAGAAGGGAGACAAGTCTTCCTGTGATAATCACAGAGGGATTAGCTTGACTAATATAGTATCTAAAGTCTTAGGCTCAATAATCATGCGTAGACTGAGTGGTGCTCGGGAAGCACAAACACGAGAGAGCCAGGCAGGCTTTAGACCAGGAAGAGGGTGTATTGATCATATCTTCACCCTCCGACAGATTCTAGAACATAGGAATTCCTACCGGCGTCCAACAGTCATTATATTTCTTGACCTAAAGGCAGCATTCGACTCTGTCGATCGGGAAGTTCTCTGGAGATGCTTGGCTGTAAAGGGAATTCCAAGAAAATATATTGCACTGATTAAGGCACTCTACTCGTACTCATACAGCCAGGTGAGGGCTTACGGCGAGCTGTCATCTGAACTGATGACGACCAGTGGTGTCCGTCAAGGAT